TGCCCGAACCCCTTTCCCCTCTCTCTATGATTTTCCAAGTTTTTTCTCTTGTTTTCATCTTCAATCATCAAGGTATGTTCCCATTTCTCTATTATTTTTTATTTTGTAAGTTAGTAACCCTTCCCCCCTTCCAAAAATCCCAATTCCCCATTAGTGCTTCTTTTGAACTCTTTTCTATGCTGGGTGGCTTGTTGTGCACTGAAATTGGTTGACAAAAACCTTGATGGTTGTATTATACACGGAGTAGTAAAGTAGAATTCCTTCTACTTCGTTGAAATTTGAGAGTTCCACCTTGTTTCACTATTGTTGAACTTAGTTGCACACACTCCATGCCCACAATGTGTTTGATACAATATTTGAATGAGTACTTTGTGCACCGGTGAAGTCTTAGTAACCGAGTGTAGTTGTATGTAATATCTGGCTAAGTGTGGGATGTTTAGGAATGGTTTTACATAATTTGGATTTTGGATTTAATGTGCATATGTCGCTCACACCATGTATCTTGTATTATGTATGTTGTAACAATTTGTATAATTAGCTAATGCAGTGTAGTAGTTGTAGAAATTAAGGACCATATGCCACTTGATTGCATTAAAGCTAAATCAATCAAATTGTTCGACCACTTGAATTGTGTGGCATAGTTCGTGAGTTATAATTGTGGGGCATGGGGAAGTCTTGAGTACCCATTTCCTTGTGGTGAAAAACTTGCACATTTTAAACCACGGTTGTGAGTCTAGTACATTGAACCTTCGATTTTATGTGTGGGGTCATTTTTGCCTCTCACGATAACCTGAGGCAGATTTCTTTATTCCTTTTCACATTCATGATTATTTGTGTTATAGGTTGCTATGGCTCGTCGTAGTGCAAACAAGGGCAAAGGAGTAGGTAAGTCCTCAACAACTGCTCCCGCTCCCAAAAAGCACAAGAAAGGGGAAGGATCATCTAGGCAAGCAAAGGGGAAACAAGTTGTCGATCGATAGACGAAGGCACTATTGGGATCGAGGCCTCATTTAGATCTAGTTCGTGATGATGCCATCCAATGGCATAATACCTTTGTACTGTATGGGCGGCACGACTCCGAGATGGGCATTAATGTGAAAGCTTTGGAAATTAACTTTCCGGGCATGCTTGCCCGATTGCAAGAAATGAGGATGGATAAGTTCCTCGAGTGCCCCGGCCATGCAAATTTTAGCATGGTGCAAGAACTGTACGCCAATTGGAATGCGGACTTGTTCATGTCATGGTCCGTGGAAAGGAAGTGCCAATGGATAGGCTGTCCTTATGTGAATTTTTTGGAGTTGAGAACTCTAACACCAGGAGGCCACAAAAGTTTGTCAAAAGCCCAAGCTACACGGCGATACGTTACACTGTTTGTGGTGTCGATTTGAATGCCAAGTGGACCAGAACTAAGGGCGATGCCCATGTTGAGATGATCCGCTTCGATTTCAACAAGACCACCAAAGTGTGGCATAATTTTGTACAGGCGTGACTCATGCCAGTTGAATACAACGGTGGATGCACTCGAGCTCGAATATCTATGATATTCTTTTTTATGATTGGGCGACCCATCAATATGGGTGAGGTCATGCTAGGGGAGATAGCTCACACACGATTTGAGTGGCAGATCAAGAGATTCATCTTTGGCAATTTGCTCACGCAGTATATTCTTTCTCGCGAGGTGCCAGAATACCCCGGGTATGACGAGGTTGTGGAGGATCCTAGAGGGTTTATGGACATCACATCTTTGTTGGAGACTACGTCTAAGCTTACCCAGACAACACGGAATAAGAGGGATGAGAACTTCAACAAGTATCTCTATAACTCCTTAAATGTGATCATGAGCAGAATGGGTGTATCGGATGAGGAACGTATGCATCTACGTAATGATTTGTCTAGTTCTTTCAAAGAGATGTTGGGGATCACACCTGGCAGTCCCGTTCACCCGTCGGAGGATGAGTACACTTAAAAAGGTTGCGACACTGAGGATGAGACTGGTGATGACGTCATGGGCCCCATGGCTTTGGTGCCCCTGGGAGCTGATGAAGATTATGATCCCGGAGATGCGGATGGCGGGCATGCTGAGGAGGAGGAATCCGACTAGAAGGAAGTTTTTTGTTCACCCTACTTTGATTTACATTTTGTTCATGCATCGAGGATTATGCATATGCTAAGTGTGGGGTGGGAGAACTACTTCTTGTGATGCAAATTATATAAATTTGTTATTTGTTTAGTTGTTTTTTTTACTTAGTCTAGTTTTATAAAAAAATTAGAAAAAGCTCAGACTTTTCCCGATGATTGATATTTTGGACAATTTTCTTGAGGGATTAAAGCCCGATTGAAAACACCAAAAAGATCAGGGTATTAGTTATTACTTTATCCTCTTATGGACTCTATGGAATATCCATGATATAATCTTCTAACAATTCAATCATTTGTCTGTGACCTAGACTTAATTTTTTCTTTTAACTTATACTGGAGTCTTCTATAGCTGTATGAATGTCAATATATATGATGCATGGATAATACTTCGAAATCTTAAATGCATTCATAAAGCAACTAAATCTGGGTCATTGATCAAATAATTCCTTTCGTTCCTTCTCAGCTTTCTTTAAATGTAAGCAATCACCTTTCCTAGTCTTTCTGCTACTTGTTGCGTGAATACTTGGCTTATCTTAGTTCTCACGCATGCCGGAATTTTTGTGCAACTCATATAATCTCGAATATTACTTTTGATTTTACTTCTCGTTCATTAGCCACGATAGGTGCCACTATCTTATGGAGTGCATACAATGTTGTAGTGAGATTGTTGTTACCAGACCATTTCTTCTTCATGTTACTATGCTTAGGTTGAAGCCTTCCTCCTTATTTCCTTAGCTAGTCTTTTGTTGTAGTACTTAGGGGAGGCCCTATGACTCGTATAAAGCTGCAAGCTTATTTCCTCGTATACCCGATTGAATTTTTGATGTTCTTACTCACATATAATTATCCTTAGTTACGTACCTTCATGTCCTTGTGCTCCTAGTGTTACTTCTGAGCTGAACTTTTTGACTATCTCCTAGTGGCATTCTCTTTTATTTCTGTAACACGTATACGATACCTTTAACTACTCCAACTCCTATTTGAATATTTTTCAAGGATTACGATATCGTATCTATGAGACTGAATGTCCTATGATGGGTTTAACTATGTTTATCATGCATGATCTACTATTTTATGTGAGACCTCTTGTCTAGCCATAACTAGGCTATTCCTGAATCAACTATTAACTACTCGTCAGCCTATGCTCATATCTATATTCTGCGTAACCTCTCTTGGGTTATGTCTTTTGTCTTAACTTACCTTTCATACTAGCTCCTAATGTATCAAGTGTTCATTCACACTTATTTACTAATCAAAATCCCGGCAGGGAACCCTTACTACATATTCTCAACATCGTCCTCACATAACATTCTCGAGTCATAACATATTTGTAGGATCCCATTAAATTCAATCTCATCCCTTTCGCCTTTTTATTGCATTCTTCCTTTACCATTTCATAGTTACCTGGACCACTTAACTCCGACTTAATACCATATCACACTATCTTTCCCCCTTTATGGAAGTACTAGCATTTAATGCTCTGGAGTTTACATGCAGATGTTTTACCTCGTCATTCTTCGGCGTCTTTTCATATTTTCAATGACCCTTACTCGCCTTGCGGTAACCCTTCTGTACCAGGGATAACTGAATTTCTTACGCACGAGGGGGACACCTAGTGTAACTAGCATACTTAGTCTCTTAAGCTTAACTCTGCTCACAGTGCTTGATTTTAGTGAAGCGTCTTCCTGAATGACCTTTAAAGATTATTCTTCTGTTGTTCATTCTATTGTTGACGGAACACGGTCTCTGAAATTCTCACAATGTCGACTATTATCAAATCCTCTAGTCTATAAATTTATCTTGTTTACTAGCCCATGCAGATTTTTATTACTCCAGAGGTCTACTTAGCCTTTTGGTAATTATGTTGGAATCACCTACTCATTTCTCGAAATGAGGATATAACTTTATAGCTTATACTCTTTTATAGTCTCAAATCCTTTTTTGTCTTTTCCTTCACTTGATTGTAGACTCTGACATCTTGTCATATTTGTATTTACCATTATCACACATTTATCACATCTTACTCATAATATTTCATTTACTCTCTTCTTATTCTCCTGCTAATATCTCGGTGTAATAACTTATTATGAAAACTTAAACAAAACATTCTTTCAATTTTAGCTCCCCTTGCTCCATCTCACTGCTCTTCGAGTCGCCTAAAATTCTCCTTATATTAGGAGTGGGAGTTATACTAAGATAAATATTTATCCCTTTTAGTATTCCACTGCAAATCTTCTAAAATTCCTGAACATTCTAGTATTCATATATGACTGTACTATTCTACAGTGCATTATTTGGGTGTCTCAAAAGTAGAACTATTATCACGTTTGCAATATCCTTCGGAAATGTCAGCTAACGCTAATAATCCATCTACCATTTTGGGTTACTTTATCGCCAGCTAGATCCCGATATCCCATCCATCTATTAAACTATATCCGGTAGCTCCCATAGGGCATAACTGAGATGAGTGTGGACAATTATACATACCTCTATTATCATTGAAGGTAACTCATAATGCATATATTTCTCTACTTGAATTGTAAATACTAATAATCTTCATTAACTGGATACCTCGTACCCTCCTTCACCTTGTTTCGGATACCTATTGAAACTTATACTTTTACCTTCTGATACTCCCATGGCTATTCATGAGGTGCGTTAGATATTCCCATCCTTAAGGTCTTAAGCATGAAATTTGCACATCGGGTATGCATGATCTGATAGGGCCTCAAATTGGACCATATCATCAAGAACTCTCCATCTTTTAGTGCTCTTACTTTATGTTGTATTAACCTTCTGGCTAGCTGTAATCTTTCTAATTGCAAATATCTCTATATCATTAGCATACATAAGTTCTGGCTCAAACTCTTATGACTCAGCTCTATAGCATGATTTAAATTTGAAAGAAGGGTACCAGACTCCTAAATACCTTGTAGCTTCCTGTTTATACAATATGGTGCACAATACATCTATAAACAAGGTACTACTAGACACCGCTTGTAGACTCCCCAGGATAGAACTGCTCTGATACCAAGTTTGTCATGCTCCAAACCTGGGGAGGCATGGCCCGCACCCGGTGCCATATTTGGCCCGAGCATACCACTCTATAACTGTGAACTCTGGAGGAGTAACCCTCAACTTAGGCCAACAAGGCCTACCTGCGAGCTGACAATACCAATCAAGACTGATGAGGCCACCATGAATGTCTTCAACCAGCAATACCAAACTAACATGTACACAGGGCTGGCAAGGCCATAATACTGACATACAAAACATGCAGGACTCATCAACAAGCCTTTAGAGATAACTAAACTGCATCATGGTCGAGATACGGCCTCGACCTTCCCATAAAACCTGTATATATATAATGGACTCCAAGGTCTAGACTTGGTAAGTCCGAGGAAGTGGAGCTTACCCACCAAGCTGATGTTTGACTCTGTCTGCAGGGAAGGTCTATCTAGCTATCTATCAAGACCTGCAGGTATGAAATGCTGCATCCCCAGCAAAAGGGAAGTCAATACGAATAATGCACCGAGTATGTATGGCATACAAATCAGTATATATAAAAGACATGAAAGAAACATTGAGTAAAGGACTCAACCTGTAAGTTTGAATAGCTCTATAAATTATGAAACATTTATAATATCATGCATATGCGTATAAATGTCATATCATGCATAGGTATAAACATAATATCATCAAGCTTCTGAGGGCATCGCATCATATCATCTCGGCCTCAGTGGGTGAAATCATCAACAAATGTCAACTGATCAGGTAGTGGTGCGTATATAATGCCATAACCTTTCCCCATACCCCATATACATATAATATACGCATATAT